ACCACTTTACAATGCCACACTGGGAATACTGCATCCAGTTTTGGTCACCACCATGTAAAAAAGATGTTGAGACTCTAGAAAGAGTGCAGAGAAGAGCAACAAAGATGATCAGGGGACTGGAGGCTAAAACATATAAAGAACGGCTGCTGGAATTGGGTGTGTCTAGTTTAATGAAGAGAAGAACGAGGGGGGACATGATAGCAGCGTTCCAGTATCTCAGGGGTTGCCACAAAGAAGAGGGAGTCAAGCTATTCTCCAAAGTAGCTGAAGGCAGGACAAGAAGCAACAGATGGAAACTAACCAAAGAGAGAAGCAACCTAGAACTAAGGAGAAACTTCCTGACAGTGAGAACAATTAACCAGTGGAACAACCTGCCTCCAGAAGCGGTGAATGCTCCAACACTGGAAGTTTTTAAGAAGAGACTGGACAGCCATTTGTCTGAAATGGTATAGGGTTTCCTGCCAGAGCAGGGACTTGGACTAGATCAGGGGTGTGAACCCCCGGCCCATGGGCATCATCTGGAAGCCGTGCCCACTCCATTGCCGGCAATGGCAAAACCGTCCCGATACGTTGCGTGACGTCACGTGACGTCGCGAGTTAGACATGTCTGGACTAGATGCTTCTCGATGAGTTTCCATCCGTTGCTTCTTGTCCTGCCTTCAGGTGCTTTGGAGAGTAGCTTGACTCCCTGGACAGCCATTTGTCTGAAATGGTATAGGGTTTCCTGCCTGAGCAGGGGGTTGGACTAGATGACCTCCAAGGTCCCTTCCAACTTTATTATTATTATTATTATTATTATTATTATTATTATTATTATTATTATTATTATTATTATTATTATTATTATTATTATTATTATTTGGGGCAGCCCCTGAGATATTGGAACACGGCTATCCTGTCCCCCCTCGTCCTTCTCTTCATTAATCTGGACATACCCAATTCCAGCAACTGTTCTTCATATGTTTTAGCCTCCAGGATTTATGTCTTTGCCAGCAAAGTTTCTAGAAGTCCCTAGAAGGTTCTAAGACATCTGAGGGCAGGTACATTTCCCTTTGGGTGAAAATATAAAAAGGGCACCTCTCTTAGTTAATGGAGGAAGCTGTGGAAGGTGGCCAGATGCTGGTGGTGTTATATTTGGGCTGTGTGGGCTGGAGGTACAGCGTGACTCAAAATGAGAGGAGGAATCTACAACGAAGGACCCAGCCAGATGAGAAAGACAGATCTGCAGGATGGAGTTTGAGGGTGGAAATCTCTCAAGATTGTTCTTTCAAAAGGACACACCAGATGTCAACAAGGAAAGCTTGATAAAGATCCTGAAGATCCAAAAAGCTTAAGAAAGAGTTACTTTTAGCTTCTGGTCACCCTCTTCTCTAAATTAAAAGCAAGTCCAAGAAGTGAAAATATTGAAGTTGTCTCAACTTTATAGGAGTTTGATAAGGAGCACCTGCATGGATCAGGGAGGGAAGAGATAGTTGAAAAACTGTAAACAGCTCTGCTTAACAACATATGCATAATCCACATTATGAGGAACGGTTGCAGGAAATGGGTATGTCTGGTTTAATGAAAAGAAGGGTTAAGGATGACATGATAGCAGTGTTCCAATATCTCAGGGTTTGCCACAAATAAGAGGGGGGGGGGGGTCAATCTATTCTCCAAAGCTCATGAAGGCAGGACAAGAAGAAACAGATGGAAACTAATCAAGAAGAGAACCAACTTAGAACTAAGAAGAAATTTCCTGACAGTTAGAACCATTAACCAGTGGAACAACATGCCTTCTGAAGTTGTGGGTGCTCCAAAACTGGAGGTTTTTAAGAAGGGACTGGACACCCATTTGTCTGAAATGGTATGGGGTTTCCTGCCTGGGCGGGAGGGGGGTTGGACTAGATGACCTCCAAGGTCCCTTCCGACTCTTATTCTGATTCTGTTTCTGTTAAGCTAATACATTAGAAACATTGTAGTACAATGTAATTACTTGAAAAGCACTGTGGCAACAATGATCCACGTAATTTAGACACAAACTTTCTTTCACTGTGTTTTCCCCCCCCCATATGTGTGTGTGCACACACACAGGCGTGTAAGTCCTTATCTCTAGAGTGCTGTATTTTTGTAAACCTGGCGTACAACTCCAGTCCTAATTCCAGACGAAATGCCAAGTCTGCTTTTGTGATGAGGTTGCTGTGTAACTCTTTCTAGAGGAATTTTCTCGCCTTTCCGTCTCCTGATACCGGCCAAGGGCAAAGTGAATAATTTATTTTATCCACTCTTCTTCTGATAACAACTCCGGAGTCAAATCTTTAAACCGTGCAGTAATAGTGACACCTGGTGGACTTTTCATGCGTATTTGAAAATAGAAAATAATAATAATAAATCAGCTGGCTTTCATGCCTAAAGCGGGGACTAGAACTCACAGTCTCCTAGTGATTGGCCCAAAGTCACCCAGCTGGTTTATATACCTAAGGCGAGATTAGAACTCAGGGTCTCCTGGTGATTGGCCCAAAGTTACCCAACTGGCTTCCATGGCTAAGGAAGGTTTTGAACTCACAGCCTCCTGTGAGTGCCTTAACTACTAGTCCAAACTGCCTCTCTCTCTATGGCTCTCTTAACAATCAAGAAATTCAGCTGTTTAAATGTCTGCGAATACTCTCTAATTCACATTTTGGGAGAACATCCTGATCTTCTAGAAATGTAATCTTTCTGTTTTTTAAAAATCAGTAAATAATATCACCCTGAACAGAGGAGGAGAGACTGTCAAGGGTCTTTGTGTGTGTTTCTCTGTGTGTGTCATTTCTTTTATCTTTCTCTGGGCCACTCAGACGCTACTCAAATGTCAAGATAACCTTTAGCAGACACAGTGGGGAAGGGGCACTGGGTGATCCCAGCAGAATACATACCAAATAAACAACGACAGCCGCTTTGAAAAGTCCCTGACAGGCCATAAAAGCAGCCATCTCAAAGGGAGACACTGATAAGACGGTCAACAGAGAGAAAAGTCAATGACAACAGGGAAACATGACAGGTAAAGGACTGAAACAAGCCCACAATCGTATAAAACAATGTGAGTGAAATAAGGAATCCATTCTTGGGGTGGTGGAATAAACCTCCATTTGTAAAAATCAGTTTTCTCCGACCTGATAAACGCACTGATATAATCCATTTTTTGGAATTGTCGGAGAATGTTGGGAGTAAGGTGCAAAAGAGTTGAAAATCACAAAGACACGCTTATCAGATGGAAATTAGCAAGGTGGCACCATTCCGGTTATTTTTTTCTTGTTTTTCTAAGCCTAGGACAACAATGTCCCAATGGACTCCTCTATTATCTGGTGGGATGGGTAAGCTGAGATATTTCCTTTATCTCTTCTAAACAAGAATTGATGGCCAAGAACCAATCTCAGCTTTTTTATTTCACTGGTGTCAAATTGCCTGGGCACTTGCATTACAGGTAGTGAAACTGATCAAGGAGAAATAAAAATTTTCTGAGAAATGAGAACAGTCAACCAATGGAACAGTTTGCCTTCAGATGTTGTGGGAGCTTCATCACTGGAAACTTTCAGCAAGAGACTGGACTGCCATCTGTCAAAAATGGTGTAGGTAGGATCTTCTGCTTGGGCAGGGGGCTGGACTAGAAGACCCCCAAGGTCCCTTCCAACTATTCTATTCTATTCCATATTTTCTTTTCTATTCTATTCTGTTCCATTCCATTCCATATTTTCTATTCTATTCTATTCTATTCTATTCTATTCTATTCTATTCTATTCTATTCTATTCTAGTCTATTCTATTCTATTCCATTCCATATTTTCTATTCTTTTCTATTCTTTTCTATTCTTTTCTATTCTATTCTATTCTATTCTATTCCATATTTTCTTTTCTATTCTATTCTGTTCCGTTCCATTCCATATTTTCTATTCTATTCTATTCTATTCTATTCTATTCTATTCTATTCTATTTTATTCTATTCTATTCTATTCCTCTCGTCTTGTCTAGTTATGACCATAATGGAGCCTGCCCTTTACAGTCCTAAGTCATGAGGGACATAAAGTGGATGGGTCACGTGACTGATCCAATTATATGTCTTTTTGGGGATGGTCGTTAAGTGAATGCAGCAGTCACTAAGCAAAGCCATGGTTCACGATGGGCCGGTTTTGCCATTTTGAGACAGGCGATCAATGGCAATGTCTCTTAACCTTGGACAACTTTTAATATATGTGGACATCAACTCCCAGAATTCCCCAGCTAGCATGGCTGGCTAGGGAATTCTGGAAGTTGATGTCCACATAACTTAGAGCTGTTAAGGTTGGGAAATACCGTTCTATGGAGTTTTGTAGTCCAGCTCTTATGCTCAGCCACGGTTTGTCTTTGGGCAACATGCCAAACCCTAAATCGTGGTTTAAAAAGCACGGGAGGGGCTGCATTAGCACCGTGTCAATCACGGTTTTACCCTGATCTAAGCTTGACGCTGTTATAAGAAATATTGAGGCAGCCTCCACTTGCCGCTAAGCTCCATTGCATAGGGCAGGGGTCTTCAAACTTGGCCCGTTTATGACTTGTGGGCAAACTCCCAGAATTCCTCAGCCAGCGTGCATGCTGGCTGAGGAATTCTGGGAGTTGAAGTCCACAAGTCATAAAAGGGCCAAGTTTGAAGACCCCTGGCACAGGGACTCAGGTAATTCAACGCCTGAAACTACCTCCCCCACAACCCCTCGCGGCAAAGGGGGCCCTCTTTTCTACGGCTAGACACCTAAGTGCCTGATTGATTTTCCTCCTCAAGCGCCCAGGGAGAACAAGAACCGGTTTTTTTGGAGGGGGGGGGGAACGCGTTAAGTATCCCTGTTGTTCTGGATGGCGCGGGGGGAAAAAGGATTGACGGGCCGCTCACAATCAGGCGCCAAAAGCAACCTCCACGCTCTGCGACGCATACGCGCCGCGGTCGGCTGGGAGGGGGGCCTGAGGACCGGAAGGGGCGGGCCTAGCGCCATCCCCGCCCCGCACCCCCTTGTCATTGGCGGCCCCGCTGGAGGCAGCGCAGGGACGGCGGCGATGTCTTGCTGCGGAAGCGGCGCCGGAGGCCTCGGCCGCCTCCTTCTCCTCCGTAAGTTGGGGGGGTTTGGGGGTGGGCGGGTGACGGGCCGAAAGGGGGGAGGCTTCCTCTTCCGGCCGCGGTCACGTGACCGCGAGCGAGATTGGGGGGCCGCTCTCCGGAGTGGGTGGGTGGCTGTTTTGGGTGAGGGACTGCAGGCTCCATAATCCCCAACCGCGGTGTGTCTCTCCCCTTCCCCCCCTCCCCGCCCCAGGCTGCCAGCGTGGCCTATCCTTTCCCAAGCTTTGGACTACAACTCCCATCATCCCCAGCCAGCCTCATCTTACCTGTTACGTTGGGGCGACATTGCCCACCCCCCCAAAATCCTCCCCAGCAGGCCCAGCCTTTTCCCTCCTGCCATCATTGGACCCTCTTTTCCCCCCGCCAACCTGGGGCCTTTTTTCCCCTTTCAGGCGTCCCGAACTACAATTCCTATCATCCCCAGCCAGCCTCATCTTGCCTGT